ATCTATGGAGAATGACAAGAACTTTTGAGGTACAAAATCCATGAAGGATCCCCAGCCAGCTGCAGAAAAAATGCTTCCTAAAAGGCAGCAGCTCCTCAAGTTGATGGTGCTGCTCTTCATCCTCCAGGTCTTACATACAGTTAGTTTAAATCCACAGGCACACTGTCCGTGTCTGCACCCCCCTTCTGCCTTTTTACATTAATTCTTGTAGAAAAAAAACCCCTGTTCCACTATCCCAACTACCACAAGCTCCAGCCATCTCCAGGAATACACCTTCAACAGGGTATGTCTGTCACAGGGTGAAGAAGGGATTACCAAAAAAGTAGATGTGCTTTTGAGAAAGATAGAATTTAATGACTGTGCTAAGATACAAAGCCTTTACTCTGATGTTTTTTCAAAATGGTCCTAGTGCCATTTTGAAAAATTCTCAAGTTGAAGAAAAAACTTCTACCTTCTCTAGTACAAAGCAAAATTGACAAACTTCTGAATAGAAAAGTAGAAAATAATGCAATAGCAACTGTGATGTGCAGGGACCAAGATCACTAGTAGAGAACAGCAGTGGCAATTAAAGGATAGACCTTCATGCCACTGCCTACTTTTGCAAACTACACAGCTCCTCTGCAAACACCAGAATTGATGCACTCTTCGGCCTGGTCAGTAAAGAAACGGTGACTGAAGACCACCTATTTTTTAGTGACTCAGATTCTTCCATTTACATGTCAGGTAGCCTTGCTGTGCTGCTTGTGCTTCCCCATAAGCCTCTCACTGCCAGGAGCTTCCTGCCAGACAACTGAACAAGCACATATGAGGAGAGATAGGACCCTGGCTTGCTAACATTTATTTTAACACATTACTAACTGCCCAAGCATACCCTCTCCCAGGTGTGTTTTTCTTTAGCAGAGGGTTGTTCACAACTATTTTGGCAGACTGGTATCAGTGGAAAAAACCCTCGGTGTCTCCCTAATCTCTGAGCTCGCTTTTCTTAGGAATTTTGGAGTTTTAGGACTTAGTTTGTGTTTGTAGTGGTGAAAGGGTGATTCCTGTTTTCTGTGGCCTGCCTCCCCCCTCTAAGTGTGCTTGAAATGGAGAACAGATCATGCCTTCAGACAGCATCAGCGTGGCAGAACTGTATGACAGACGTGAGGAAACTCGAGGTCATCTATAGCCAGAAACCTACAACAGATGCCAGAGGACATGTATGTGGACGCATTTAGACCTACTGGAACAGAACCTACAGAACTGGAAGCCGTCCCTCTTAAGAGAGGGACCTGTGCAAGCTCCTGGCTTAAATTCAGACCTAGTACCAGCTGACAAGCTTGTCAGCATCTGGCCTCTTTGGGAAGTAGCATCTCCCAATTCTCAAATTTCTGCTCTATTTTAGGAAATAAAAAAATACAGCTTGGAACCATAACCTTGAAAGCGTTGCCATTCCCTGACCTAGATTTTGTCCCCCAAGGCGGGATCACTTGTCCCTAAGCCACTCCGGTCACACCATTGTCCAATTTGTCTCTGGCAATCAGGAGATTTTCCTGGTCTCCCCTGTCCTTACTGTCAAGAAGTTTTTCCCACCCGGCAGTGGTAATTACTGAGCCGAGGCAGTGGGAGAACCCAAGCAGCAGAGCTCCCGGGCTACCAAGTGAAGCTGGTAGAGGCATGCCTTTCTCTTCTGCCTTTTGTTTCCTTTAGGGTGGGGTGGGCCACACATGTCCCAGCCCTTAGGGCATCTCGCTGCTCTTCCTGCTCGCTGCGCTAGTTCTGTTGGCTCCCATGCCATGTTCAGGTCATCTTAGTAGTGGATGTCTGGCACTTGCTGCTCCTTATAAGCCATTGCTGTTTCTAAAGAAGATGTTAACTGTGGCATGCCCCCTGTCACTTAGGGATCCAGCTTCCTCCACCTTTGTCGCTGCCCACATGTTGGAGCACTGCCAGGATTGTGCACAGAGCAGAACTAGAGATTCCTTCCCTAGACAAACCTCAGGAGTGCCTTTGTGGTTAGACCGTTCCTTGGGTTCACTCCAACAGGCAGCAAGACCACGCTAGGTTTCTCACACCCTCCATCAAGCATCATCACACGGCGCTATTCTGCCATACTGGGCAACCCCAGACGCCTCTCTGCAAAGCAGAGGTTGTCCAAGCATAAAACAAGAACAAAGGTGTTGTGAGGCTGCTTTCTTCTCATCTTTGAGGATTATATGAAATATGAATTAAAGCTTTTTAAAAGCTATGTAGCCTCATAGACTAGGCCACAATGACAGCATTCCCTGAGCCATCCTAGACTCAAGTTAGTCACAGTTGCAAGAATCCCTGGAAGTGTTCAAGACCAGGCTGGATGGGGCTTTGAGCAACCTGCTCTAGTGGGAGGTGTCCCTGCCCATGGCAGGGGGGTTGGAACTCCATGATGTTTAAGGTCCCTTCCAACCCAAACATTCTATGATCCTACTCTAACCTACCTCACAGCTCCCACTGGACGCCTTCCCTACTGAGGAACTGAAGCACAGCCTGCTCTGTATGGGATGAGCCATAAGTAGGGTGGTTGTGGGTCCATATACAGCAATCTGACCCTGGGAACAGGGAAATGACTCACCAAGTATAAGCATGGCCCACACTACCAGCTTTTAAACTGTTTTAGTTCCTTTCCCCTCCTAGGAAACAATGACCAAAGATAGCAATTAAGGGGTAACATGAAAGAACTCCCAATTTTCAGAGAGAAAGCCACATTAAACAAGCAACCAGTTACACCCACCTCTGAAAAAAGCCAACAAAAAAACCAAAAAACAACCACCAAAAAACCCCCTCCAAACAGTATGCTGAATGTCTTGCTATTCAAGCCCAGAGCAGACCCTTCCTTTCCACTCCCTTAAGCTCAGCTTCACCACAGAAATATCCTCTCATTACTGAGGTTTCTGTCCTGTATCAGCTTTTCTGTATGCAAATTATGCTGATCATTACATAAATGAATGAGAGAGAACCACTATCCAACTAGCTGAAACAAAAAAAATTCCAGAAAGCACCACCTGTTCTTCAACAGATCATTCAGGGCTTCTGGATCTCTGCTTTAATTTTATCTACTTGACACAGAAAGAGAACATTCTGGAGTACAGCATAAGGTTCCTGAAACGCTGCAATTATATCTAAGTGGGCCAATGGTGAAATCATAGAGTCACAGAAACATAAAATCACAGAATGGTTAGGGTTGGAAGGGACCTTAAACATCATGGAGTTCCAACCCCCCTGCCATGGGCAGGGACACCTCCCATTAGACCAGGTTCCTCAAGGCCCCATCCAGCCTGGCCTTGAACACCTCCAGGGATGGGCATCCACAACTTCTCTGGGCAACCTGTTCCAGTGCCTCACCACCCTCACAGGAAAGAATTTCTTCCTAATACCTAGTCTAAATCTACCCTCTTTCAATTTAGAATCATTACTTCTCATCCTATCGCTTCACTCCCTGATGTGGAGTTCCTCCCGATCTCTCTCCTGTAGGCCCCCTTTAGGTACTGGAAGGCCGCTATAAGATCTCCCTGGAGCCTTCTCCAGGTTGAACAACCCCAACTCTCAACCTGTCCTCATAGCAGAGGTGCTCAAGCCCTCTCATCATCTTCATGGCCCTCGGCAGCACTCTTTCCAACAGGTCCATATCCTTAAATATTCTCCTCATTTTCCATACAAGCATTCAGGAATAAGGCCTGTTGTTTCTATCCTAAGATTGTATCATGAGACTACCCCATTTTACCATGGAATTAGGCATGGAGCCATTTTTTGCATTTCAGGAAACATTTACAATATTTCAATATACCTCCAGATTTCTGTGAGACAATCTCAAACAGCTGATTGTAAATAAACTTATCACCTGTCTAATAAGATTAGTAATTTGAACTTACATCTAATATTCAATCAGGCAATCCAAGTCTATGTCAACAATGAGGCAGTGAACATTGATAGCCAGATGAGGCTCCTATTTCTCCTTCCCCAGTTCTCCAAAAGCCTAGCCAAGTCAGGACTGAATCAAAAATTATTTGGGAAAGAAGTGACAGAGATGAGGGAACCAGCAAGGTATCTAGATACTTGCTTTGCAATTTTGGACATGGTACCAAAAGGACTCTTCACCCAACTCCTTTAAAAGGTCATCAGGAAAATATTTTCTTTCTTTGAGAGACACAAACCACCAATATTTCCTACTCTCCTAACCAGAATTTTCCAGAGAAGTACAACTAGCCACAGCAGTTTATTTAGACAAAAGGTTTACTCATCGCAGCTCTAATACTTTAACAGTTTCAAGGGCTAAGAGACATAATGGAAACCATACAGAGGTCTCTATCATGGTCTTTCATAGATCCTTTTTTTTTCTTTTCCCCCTGAATCATAGGTGGTAAACAACATGTGAAATAAGCATATTTCAAAACCAAAATGAGGCATTCAGGAGAGAAGCTTGTATTTCAAGCAGGAGCTATGAGCTAGATCGGTGAATACAGTAAGATTTCTCTCCCTACAACAGTTAAGGTACAAAGTTAAATTAATTTAGTGAGGCACCTGAAGAAGCCTAAAGGTTTGAGCTAATAAATTGTCAAACGGTACCATAAAGCTTTTGAATTATTTCTATATTTTCAGTACAAAATATTGAAGTACACTGACAAATCAGTTTCAAATTTCTTTCTGTTGCAGACTCATAATCAAACTATTTCATTTATAAGGCAGCTTTTTCCTTTGTACTTGTCACTGTTCCCCAGTAACTTTTGAATCCATTCAAGGAGAGGTGGAATTGCCACACTTTCCTGCAACTTTTATGAGGAATAAGTGCCTGGAGAGAAAGCCCCAAATCCAGTGAGGAAGAGCTCAAATATGATGAGCCCTGCCCTATCCTAACAGTACTTACACACTCCAGACTAGTCCAAGCTGCATTTTGGCAGGCCCAGCAGATGTCAGAAAGAACAGGGGAGGAAACTGAGGCTACTATGGTAGAGGAAAGAGGTGTAACACACACAAATCCATCCAAGGCTTTGTTTTGCTACTTGGAGGACAGCTTTCATTTTAATTGGCAATTTAAACCTGTTTAACATGCATTTTTCTAACCATTTTTGTGGGTACCAAAGTTATTTCAGATAACAGTATGATACTGACCTAAAGTGTTAATATATCTTTAATAGTATTGTTTTTAGCAGATAAACCTCAAGATGATTTTTAAATTGTTTGTCAGAGTAGACTACAGTCTATGAGCAAGCTTTCTCTACGACACTTAAAAGAATGGGTTTTTACAAGGCTTATCCTGCTACACAGAACATTTTAAAGAGCAAAACACATTTAGGATCACATTCAAAACACTGTTTTTCAAAATAACATGATATTTTAAAGAGACTAACAATTTATTCAATGCAAATCCAAAGTATAAAGTTGTGGAGTTCCAAATACACATCCAAGTCTGCCATTTCCAGTTTTGTACAAATTAATTTACTCAGAATAATTTCAAATCTGGCATGGTGTCAGTCCAAAGTTACAGAACTGATATGTTTTTCACATCTGCTTGGAATTAGACTTCCCAGTTTTACTAGATTTAGTCTTGATTTAAAATAAACAAACCTTGTAAACAATTACTGTAAAAGCAGTTAGCAAAAGAATGGGTGACAACTGTCAGTCTTTAAATATAATTTAAGTTACGCCCTTTTCTTACCATCAACTTTTAGTCAAGTATGTAAATAAATACAAGAACTAACACAAATAAAAGTTATCACTATAAGAAAATACATCATATGCTATAATTTGGAATAAAATATCATACAATATTGGCTGCATCATTTGAAATATGGATTTGACTGCTTAAACCAGTTTGATGCTAAACAGTTAAACCTCTTCTTTGTGTAGAGGACTACACTTGTACTCACTGTTAGAAATGTGTTTTGTGATTAATTTTATATTAGTATATTCAACCCCTAAATGTGAAAATGACTCATGTCATTTAGTGAAAGAAGATACCATAGGCACCATAATATTTTTTGCTTTTTAAACAAAATCTGGTGATGAACCAGCAGTAACAAAATAGGATGAAAATTAAAAGGCACATTCAGGCAACAAATAATCAACACAGTTTGCATGATGCTATAATTGAAAAAGAAATAACTTACGCTCTGAGTAATTGATTTGATCACAAACAAATACTCTGGCAGATTCTAATCTGTCAGAGAGAAAGTAAATTTTGTGAAAGGTGTGCAATTCAAATTACAGAATTATTTTTTAGGGTCAGTATAAGGCTTATAACCGAGTGCACGTTAAGAGGACTGACTACTCAAAACCTCTTGTTCTCTGAGTGCATAGAAATACAATGAGCAACGAAGATATTCCTTGTAAGAAGATGTATTCTGTGCATGTGCAAGTCTAAATCAAGTACTTGAGCGTCTTTCAGGTCTCGGAACACATTTCATAATCGCAGCTCTCCACAGGGCAGGGGCAAGTAAAAGGCTTAGAGTAGTCACACTCAGAATAAGAAGATAAACCTGAAAATTGGAAATAAAAGCCATTACTTAGTTTATCATATAACTAAGAGAAGAAGTGACTAGAAGTTTGAAGAGATCAGACTTTTATGGAAAATATTTTCAGAACACTTCACCTGTCTTCCTTACCAACTATGCATATTGTTACAAAAGCAAACAAATGCATGCACAAATCATCTAATTATGTGTTTACCTGGGGTTAAAGATACAAGTACAGAAAACATAAGCTTATAGAAAAACAATTATTTACATGTACAGTTAAGAGGTCAGTTTTGAAAGGTCAAGGTTTGCTAAAAGGTCAAAGGCCAAATACCATTTTATTAAAAAAACCCAAACCTATTCTGACTTAACAATACAGTGGCAAAGTGCACTACTATTTTATACACTCACAAAAGCAAACAAAAATCTCTTTAAGTTGTACTGCACATTTCCTGAAATAAGATCTTAACTACATATTCTGAAAGATTCTTACAAAATGGCAACGGGGAGTAGTTTTGAGGTCTCAAAGAGAAAAATGACTTTTGGAGATTTGAGAGCTGTATACAGTAGACAATCACATGAGAGCTGCCAACAGAAAAAAAATGAAAGCCTAAAGGCCTCCAAGCGCAGTGGGTGGGCCCCTAAACTGGTTCTGGGATCACGTATGGGTATCTTGAAACTCTATACAAACATACAATATTTATAACTCTTAATTATATGCAGGAGCGAACATGAAAATGAATCACCTTTACCTACACAAGTGAACAGCATTGTGTAAGTTTTTCACACGTGCTTCATTTGGAATTGGTTCCAGCATTATGCAGCCCACTTGCTCACACAATGAAAACCTCGCAGCGCCAGCACAGTGTTTTTGTGAGCAGAGATACAGAGGAGAAAGCAGCTAGTGCTAGAAAGTGAGGTCAGTTTTTGTATCTCTGCAGCCATAATTTACCTTATTTCACAAAGCAGACATATTGGAAAAAAAAAAAAAAAAAAAAAAAAGCATTTTTGCAGGATGAAGGGTTTTAGTCCTGCACTGAAGCATCTAGGGGCAGGAATGTGGCAGATGGATACAACCAGAGGCTGTGGTTTCCTATTCTGTGTGCAAAGGTTTTTTTCTTGTACATGGAGGTCTGTGTATAGCAAAGGGATGACTACTGTCAGGGAACGGCAGAAGGGGATCAGTCCCTCCTAGACCTTTTGAATGGTCAGCAAAAAAAAAAAAAAAAAAAAAAAAGGCATTCTCGCAGCTTCAATATAGAACTAAGTTTAAGGTTTCTTTCCTAGGGAATTTTTTCTATGACTATTGAAAAAGCTGGTTGTTTCTTCTGCAGAGGATTTAAAAATTAGCAAGCTTTGCAGGTAAAGATTACAAGTTTGTTTGGTTGTTTAAATATTAAGGCAATTTCCACTTCTCTATATCTGCTTTCTGGTTCTTATTTACTGATATTTCCTTAGTCAAATCCTATACTCTCAGTTACCTCTTTCTATACTATACCAGAATTTTAAAAGCAATGGCTTCTCAGTCTTAGTGACTTAGGTGCTATCTACAACTCACTGCTCAGTTAATAACAAAGGTGTAAGTGAGAGCAGCTAAGGCAAAGCATTTAGAATTAAGCTATTCAAAAGTAAAACCTGCTATTTAAAATATTAAAGTACAATATGCAACAAGTAAAAAATGGAACTAAGAACCCTGTCAGAGACATAGATCTCCCCATTTGTATGGCTGATTCTACTTTTTAGCAGTTAAGAGAGGCCACAAAATTGGAACATATTGGTATTTCAAATACACTGTAATACAAAATCCCAGCAAGTTATTCAGGTGCAAAAAATGAAATTAATAACTATAGAACAGCTTACCTCCCGAGATATGATCCCTGCTCTGCGTGCTCTACTTCCCAGAACAAAAGAGAATTCACTGACTTGTGCCAGTCCTGCTGAGACAATCCACTTGATATACTGGCTCGTCTTTGGAAGAATCAGAGAAAGCACAAGCACTGCCAAGACAAACTTTAAAAATTGATTTTTTTGGGGGGTTGTTGTGGGTTTGGTTGTGGGTTGTTTTTTTTTTAAATAAAAGTAGTGCAACAGATGAAATAGTACAATATTTGTAAGATACCATGCATCAAATACAATAATTCTGGACATAAACTAGTGGACTTCTAAATGTATCTTCTGTATTAATGTCAAAAGAGACAAATATACACTGCACAGTAGAAAGTAGTATCTTGTTTGCTATAATAAAAACACTAAATAACTTTGCCATAGATCCCAAGCTAAACAGACGTTTCTCCATGTGTAACTTATTTTTAACATTAAGTATTTTTAATATCCTAAGAATATTGTACCAAACTATTCTAGTCAGCTCTTGCACAGAATTTCCATTATGGCATGCAGCACAAAGATTATTTAGACCATTAAAAGAGAAAAGAAAAAAAAAAAGGAAAAAGAAATACCTTCATTATGACGACAGACAACGTAAGGAATAGTAAGACTGTGAGTTCATATATTACAAATGTGGGAAAAACATGAAGTCCTAGGAGGAAAGAAAAGAATATTTCAAAGTTTAAGGACAAAATCTTACTATGGCAATTCTCAGAGATAACAATACATTTAATTGCAAGACTCAAAAACAAACAAACAAGAAGCCTTAATATACCTACTAACACTACTTACTTAATCATTAAAGTGCTTCCTGCATTATCCAATAATTTTTCCTTTGGATAGGTTTAGCACAAACAATATTCCCAATTGGGTTAAATTATATATGACCAATGCAGGAGCACTTCCATTTATAAATTTTCCTCTTTTCCACACCAGTCAACAATCCAGAATCTGACTTGAAACACACCTCTAAGGAAAGCTATAAAATTACTGCAGGAAAACAATTCCATTGTTCTGCACAGTGATTGTAACATACACTTTTCTAGCTGTTTAACATTTTTGTATGACATGGTAACGGACTATCCTGTGGGAGGAACGTGATATTCAGTATTTACACAGACTATAGCTACAACAGCAAATGTAATTGTTTTGATCCCATGACCCTCGTGTGCAAACACTGAAAGTCACCTGAACTGGAAAAGTCACTTAGACTGGAAACAGGTGAAGTCATAAACCCCTGAGCATGGTCTAACAATTAAGGAATTATATAAACCCCCACTACTATGATGTTGGAGGTTTGGGGTTTTTTGGGGGAGTGGGGGTGTCTGTCCTTTTTTTTCCTTTACCCTTTTCTTCAATTTTTTGTCATTTTTATTTGGTAATTATATGAAGCAAGATAACAAGAACCATCAAGAGCACAGAAACATAAAACTAAATCCTGCAAATATTAAGCAGAAGAAAAAGAAGTGTTTGCTGGAGAAGTCCTGGAGTCACTGAGGAAGAATCTTACTCACAGCTGACTAAGTCCTTTTTTTCCTCCTAGTGTATAAGGAACTTCTGCAGGCAAACGTAACTGTGTATCTTTGGAAGTACATTCGTTTTTCATAACAGCTCTTAAAAAGAGGAACCAAAATAGCGGTGGTGCTCCTGATAAATCCATAATAGTTGGCAGTTCTCCAACCCAATTATTTCTGGTGAAGGACAGGAGTTTAACTTTCTAAAGCATGAGGCGTGTAAATTGATGCTGTAACATCTTACTTCAACACGAGACAAGTTTTCACTAATTTTCCCCGACCCACAGAGCAGCAGAGCCAGAAGGACTGTAAAGAACTAAGAGTCATTTTCTATTCCTGAGCGCACAAGAGAAGTTACTTGCAGTAACTTCATGACATTTTGTCCATATTCCATTGTGGATAAAACCACATTTCAAGTACATCAGATTTTTATACAAGTGCTCCCCAGTCAGCGTGCACACACCCAGTCTTATTTCTTAATTTCCCTCCAGCTACTGAAGCACAAATGCACAAGACTATCAAAACAAGGGGAGAGACGGCAGAACAAGAGACACAAAAAAAAGGATCCTCACGCATGCACATACGTACACAGAGGAGCAAGTAGCTTCTGGTTTTGTACTGTTTATCATGTGCACATTGCTCGTTCACATCCATGAAACACAACTAGAGAAATACAGCCTGTAACAATGCCGTGCTTGATAAGAGGGCCAACTCTGCCACATCTGGAATTGAAGATTTCGGAGGGAGCCTATAAAATGCAGCCCAATGCTCTCTCATCACAACTAGCTGATCCACCTTTTCAGTTCTGGAGAGCAGACAGGCAGCCTGAAGTTCATTTGGAACAGCCTCCCCAGTATGAAAATTATTACTATATTCATAAAGAGCTGAGGCACAAACTACCACAGACTTCTACAGGAACCTGTGGAGGAAGTGTTTGTAAGGTGAAGCAAGCCTAAACCTGTTACATATGCTATTCTGAGCAAACAAACAAGTATCCCAGCACACAGACACGTTTTGGGGGAAATAAATCCCACCATAGTGGATTTCATGGTCATTACAGACCTTAGCACCAGCCTAAAATGAAAATGTAGGGTAAGGCCACAAGTCACATCAGACTGCTAATACAAGCAGATGAAACCTTCCTGACAACTCGAATGCCATCAGAAGGATTAGCTTCATGCAGAAGGTATATGAATATAAGCATTTATTTCAGTGGTTTTAATCAGAGTTTGTGACTGAGCTGAGGAGTCACTATAGACTTGTTCTCTACGATGGGAGAAAAACTCCAACCAAATATTTCAAGAACTTCACCACCATTATCAGGCAGCACGTGGCACGTTGGCCTGTCACCAATAGCTTAGATATCACTTTGGTACATTTTCAGAGAGCTTAGCATATACCACGGGACTTCAGTTGTAAACAGTGTTCTGGAATAAATGGAATGGAGGCCTTGGGGTGAAGGTGACCTTGCATCAATGTGAAGCCAAAAAGTCATATAAGTTGGTCTGTGTTCTTCTATGGATGATAACAGGCAAGATTTTGCACATTCTTTTTATAAGTACTTTTTTCTTAAGAGGTAGACTCCCCCTCTCCCCTGATTAGACAGATTCCACCAATCTGCTGGATGGCTGCTTGCACATGAAGATTCAAATGCAGTCATGACAGCATCCTGAAAGATTCAGCATCAAGAAAAGGAATCTTGGAGATCTTTGATGGCAAACAAGATTACAGAAACCAGGACTCTTTTTGGTAAAATTGAAGCCAGTAGAATTAATTCCGACATATCCTCAAGCCAGGACACCACAGAGAAAAATCCCATTAGTGATGCACTGGGATGCTGTATCTACTGAGAGTCTTAATGAACCTAAGATCATAGCTAGCAAATGCTACAGCCCAGGCTAGATTAATTACCGACATTCATCTCCATGTTTCTGCAAAGGGCAAAGTCCTCTTGATTCTAACATCAGTTCTGAGAGCTGGAAACCTCCAAGTTTCATTGTGGTCCATGCAGGACAACAAAACAGTAGAGCTGGATGGATAAGGAGAAGGCGATGCACGTCACCAAATGAATGCCAGTTGGGATCTTCCTTTGATTTCTCTCAAATTCAACAGAAATGTTAAGAGGCCCATCAGAGAAACACTGTGTGTGTGTTTGTTCTGAACAGTGGTAGAGCTGACAGTGTCAGCATCACCCGTCTTCTGAAGAAAAAGACCGCACTGTTAAAGGGCTTTCAGCATCTTGCATTCAAGGTTCAACGCTGACCACAGGATTCACCCAGAAGGGAAATATGGAGCCTGGCAAGTGAGTACATCTGTACAACACATTGGGGATTTTGTGAGTCAGTGTAAGTAATCTGCCTCCTCACCACTGGCAGATAGTGTTCTGATGTCCAATTACAAACTCCATATACCCTGTAGACTGATAAAAAAAGGGATATTGGAACTTTGGGGAAAAAAAGTCAGTCTATGCAAAGATGCCTTCGCTTCAGGGGGGAAAAAAAAAGTCAGTCTATGCAAAGATGCCTTCCATCCTTCTAAAAAGCAATCAGGGGGATGGAGCACTTCTGCTACGAGGACAGGCTGTTTCTAAAAAGCAATCAAAGCAAAATCAAATTATGCAGACGGGGAAGGCGAAGAATCCGAGTACTAGGTACCCAAACAGAAATGATAAAGTTTGTTCTCAAAATGTGGCTCTAAGGGATCAACAAAATCATATGATGCAGAGGGGGAAGGTGAAGAATCTGAGTACTAGGTACCCAAACAGAAATGATAAAGTTTGTTCTCAAAATGTGGCTCTAAGGGATCAGTCCAGATGTGCTCTCAGAAATATCAGTGAGGACAGAGACTAACAGGAACTTTCTAACCTCAGTAGATGGCAAAGACAGCCAGAAAATTTGAAAACCACAGAGGCCTAAATGAACGTACAGATGGAGAGTAACTCAAAGTACAGCGGTTAATGCCTAACTGCAAAGGTGTGTTATTCCCACAAAGGCACCCATGCGTGAATCTGAAAGCAGTAGCATTACACAGGTCAACCTAAGGGCAGGACCAGTGCTATAGGTATTACATAAGCAGCTACTATTCAGCTCAGCTTTTAGGCACCAGAAGGATTTCTGTAGTGAGAACAGAAAAGCTGGTATTTAAGACAAGCAAAATAGGAACTAACTTTTCCAAATGACATATTTACAGTCAATTTTCAAGTAAGTAAAATTTTTCTATTTATTCCTTTATTCTAAAAGGAACGGAAATTAGATTACTGCAGTGGTGTACCATACCACCTCAGGTTCTCAAGTGTTTCTGCTCTCTATAATAAGGTGCTTGCTCCATATAGCAACCAGCCTTCACTTAAGGCGGGGGGGAGGAATGGGAGGGAAGAATCTTTTCTTGTGGCCTTTATATAATTTCACATAGTAAATCTCTCTATATTTATAGATACATATCATTTGCACGTACATGTAAGGAGAGAGGAAGCAAGAAGTCTTTTCTTACTAGGTTTCTTTTTAAGAAGGTTAAGGAATACTTTTTATCCTACTTGGGTTTCCTTTGCAACATCACAACTCCTCTTTTTAAAACCTACTTCTTTGCCACCCCACAGAACTTCCTGTTAACCACAAAATTTGAAAGTAATTGAAAGTAAAGGGGGAAAGGAAGGATAACATTTATTTGTAAAGTTGTTTTGGTGGTTTGTTTGTTGTTCATTTTTTGGTTTTTTTGTTTGTTTTTTTTTTACAAGCAAGCATTGTCACATTTTGTCAAGAGGCTCATTTTTCTGGTTTTTAGCTAACTTTCTTCTGAGGTAGGAATAACACCCATTTTATGTAAAACCAAACAAACCGGTTATGCAATTTTCTTTCCCTTCTTGCAATTATAATGGTAGCAAGAGTTAAAGTTTTTTTGGTTTTTTTTTTTTTTTAATTCTGTAACAGAACTACCAGAATAATTTCCTGACAGTATAACGTAGGCTATCTGGAGTGCTGCCAGCATGCCAACCAAGGTCTTGTTATTTTCTTGGACCGTACCAAAGTCTTAACCTCCAGTCTTAATTTGTGCAGTCACAAGTGTGTAGGACAGTATTTTTCTTCAGTCCATTGTAAAATTAACTTCAGGCTTATAATTACTTGTCATGCTTTGTAACCCTGGTAACAATATCTGCTCCATCACCATCTTTACTAAAACACATGAACAACTTACCTGTGAGCACTTAGCAATTACTCATCCAACCTTGTCAGATTTATGGGCCCAAGAGTTTTAGCATAGCTCACCACTTTCCTCCCTTTATTCAAAAATAAGTTATTCAAGTAAACATATCTATTACTAAGCGACCTGACTGATCAGCACCAGCTATTGTCATGGGCTGAGTAAAACAAAAAATCAAGGCTAGCAAGTGTAACTATTGCCTTTTTATTTTGACAACCACCAGAAACAGGTTTTGTTTCTGTTATGAAAAAATGGGTATCAAACAGGTACATAAGGAAAGGCATTAAAATTATGCTGATGGGACTTCACTATTCTCTGAATAAACATGTGGAGATAAAAAGAACGATAGAAAACTTAAAACTGAAAGAAAAACCAAGGGTGGTCTTGAAAAAAACCAAACCCAAACCCTCAAACCCTAAGGATTTCCTGAGTAAGCATGGTTTGAAGGAGGTTGGATTTGTTTGATGGGCCAGGTTCAAACACCCTATTTTAGACCTTGGAATGCCCCCAAAATAGGACACGCAATGTCCTATACAATGCAGAGGGAGAGCCAAGTGCTTTCACAGGGCCTGTCTCCTCACTCACTGTACATAAGCACTTCAGTAACATGTTTCAATTTCCTTTAGAGAAAGCATATTGGGGCATGCACAGACAGCTAGAGAATGTAGCTGTTCCAAAATGAAGCTAGTGATTGAATGTAAATATTCTCAGAGTTAACTTGTTTTGGAAAACAAGCACGATGAGTTACTCTCCTGGCCTTAGGTATCAATGCTGCATTTCCATTGGCATTGGGGTAGTCTCTGATACACATCTTGTTCAATTATTTTTTCCCCTGTCTTGAGAACACACAGATCACATTTTCCTAGCTAAAGAAACAAGATGCTATAAAAAAAAAATAATATCTGTTTCCATTATTATATCCTGCTTCTAGAGAAAACCAAGCCACGAGAACCTGAAATCTACTCTACCAATTGACTCAAAATAGTAATACAATTGTAGTACAAATTACAAATATAGCCACTGTGAAGACACAACATTTAAAAAAAAAAACACCAAAAAACAACCCAACACCCAAACAAAATCCTTTTTCCCTTAAAATTTTTAGTTACATGCTTTAAATATTGTGAATTCAGAATTAACAATGAAAAACTGACATTAAAACAAGAACTGAGCGTACAACATGGAAATTCCTTATGAAAATGAATGTTACATTTAAAAATATAAGCAAAGGCAAACCAATACTGTGGTCAGTTAACAGTTTAATATTTTAACAAAATCAAATCTACCTCGTCCCCCCAGTTTGTAGACACCGTTTTTCTCTCCTCCCCCATATTTGTTAGGTTAACATTATTTTTTAAGTAAGTTTTCTTAGTAGTTACCTATGGATGCAAAGAAAATGATGGCAAGGAAGTCACGTATTGGTTCAATACAGGACATAATCTCCTCAGAAACCATGTGACCCTGAGAAGAGATCAGAGCTCCGGCTAAGAAGCATCCCAGCTCCATTGAAACATCCAACAGCTCTGTGATCTGTCAAGGAATAACAAGAGAATCTATTGCTGTTCTCTAGCCCCGAGTGACTTTATATACCATTTCACAGTGAAATTATAAAACTGCACATTATACCAAATGTAGGAAATCGCTATGTCTTTATGCAAGGTCAACAACAAATAGAATTCAGTTTGTTTATTTCAGTGCTCTGCAGTATGGTGGTTATACAAAAGACTCACAAAACCAGTTTTTACCTCCATGTTACTTCCTTCCCCACAAAAACAAAAATAAATGTCTTAATCTACATTGTAATGCTTTGTGTCACTCTTAGGGATAGCATCTGATTTCATAAAACCAAGAAAGACTATAACAGCTTCGGAGTGAGGATTACATAATACATTGCGGCTGTGAAATAAAACAGTAAGAACAGCATATTTTCCAGCTGCCAAGCAAGGGGAAAAAATAAAAATCAAAGCTTACAACTTGGGAGAATAGTCTCAATTTAGCAGAAATCCCAGGCATAAATTACATTTTATTATTGTAAATTGGACTTAACTGTGCCTGTGTGCTTTACTGAATAGGGATGCATGTAAGCATGCAAAGTAAACTGCTGAAATGAAGCACGATATTTATTTGTAAGAATTCATACTGCTTCATTCTTTTTTATTATTTGAATACAGTACTAGAGGGAAGAAGTGTGACACTTGTAAAGAGACCGAACTAAAACAAAAGCAACTGCTTAAGGCTATGCTCAGAACATTAAAAAAAAAAAAAGCAGCACTTTTAGCTGGCATAAAGTATGTTTTTAAATAATTACTTTAAAATCATGCTGCTGCTGACGGTCATCTACTGAGAAAGGACAATGCTATTAATGTTAATAGAACATTTAAAATTGAAGACTTATTGCCATACTAATTTAGATTAAGCAACAATACACCATAGTACATTTACGGACAACATTCATCATATCTTGAATGGTGTTACACTGCAAGGTATGAAGCTGAAACTCAAGTGACTCGAAATTAATGGAGGAGAGCAAGAGACACAATAAACAAGTCTCCAAGCTATGCATAAAATGCCACATAAAAATAAACCCCAGACTTTTTTGTATTGAAGTATTAATGTCTGAATGCTCACAACATAACTCCGTTTGTGCTAACAGGCTGTAATTTATTGCAAGACATTTAAGAAAACAAATTGGTTCTGTCAGCTAATGCAAATAGTTGCTGATCAGGCAAAACCAACAAAATAACATTATAATGTTACTCCCATTTTAAAACAAAAAGAAATTTCAGTGCCTTTCACCACAATTTGAAATAGTAAGAGGGAAGAATATACGTAAAAGGCTTTAAAACCACCAAAAGATAGATAAGATTAAGGGAACAATTATGAATAGAAAACACGTAAGCTCTTCTCAATCACATATTAGTTGTTTTAAGTGGCACCACCTCTTGAGTATGATTAAGATCCAATATAGTCTCTTTAAAGAAAGCTGGAAGTATTCTTACTACTCAGCTATAATTCCCCCACATTTAAGTGTCATCAGCTATAACAGAGCTCCAGATCAAAACTTTTATAGCTAATATTTTAAGTATTCCCATGTACATGGTCAGGTTACCATGTAAGAAGGGATTTAGCATCTCTTGTATCAGAATTGCACGATACTCTGTTGTTATGAGAATCACTATTCAAGTAAGGAGCAATTTAAGTAAAGAAGGAAACATGCTTGTTCAGAAAGCAGCAGGCATAACTGGAGCAAACTGTTAAGTCCCTCTGGGTTTGCTCCCACAGCATAAAAATTGAATTCCATTCCTTCACTCTATGGTAAGCTAAGTATGAGCTCAAGGGCCTGGTAGATAAAAAAAAGTTTTGCTAACTTTTGTCTGCTCTCTAGGTACTACACAGCTTCAGGTCTACAAAATCCATAGTTCACACACAGAAAAGTGTTAAGTGGATGAAGGGGCAAAAAAAAACCCCCAAAGATTACATTATTTTCTAAATCTCATCTCCCTTCCTCTTCAGATTTATGACTCTTTTTACTGTTCCCATCCTGGTCTCTGGTTGCCCAATAATATTACCAATAAGTGGATACATTTCCTCAACTAAATCTATAGCATCAAGGTTTATTAAATATAATGAGTAGGCATGCGCACACACACCGGAGAGGGTGTGTTTAGTGGCAGGAAGGCATTCTCAGCAAAATTTCTTATATAAGCAAAACTTGTAAAGTATTTTGCATTTAGCATTCCCTTTCTACTTGCACCATTTTTAATGTTTTGCCTTTACCAAACAGGGCTCTAACAATTACTAATCCCTGGGCTCTGCAGTATCCTCTCCCCAACTTCTACATTACAGAAAGCTTTTTCAGCCAAAATTAAATTAAAAGTTTTGTCAATTTGCATGTTTTTCCCAGTAGAATTTAGTTTTCAGTTGCTTTCAAAGGTCCCATTTCACTCTAATTCAGAGAAGATTGCTTTGCTTTCACTAGAATATTGGATTTTTATGTTCAAATGTTCTACCATAGCAATAAGTAAAAGAAATAAAACATTACTGTTATAACATGTTCCAGTTGAATTTCCACCATTTGTTCAGCAGTTGTTTTTGCCTATATTCTCTAATAACGTGTATCTTATTGCTCATCTTTAATCATCATAGAAGCTGAATGAATAAGGTAAGCCAGTAAAATTAAAGAAATCCCTGATGGAAATAAATGTTATTAGAACTTCAGGCCTTAGTAATTTAAATCTGCCCCAGAGTAAAGAGGTGAATTCTAAGCTTGCATTTTAAAGTAGTAAAGCCTTAACAGAAATGGAAACAATTTTTAATGGGTCTTGCAAAAACTGCATCTCAACTGTATTTTATTTAAAAATTAACTACAATATTTGAGATTAAAGTTCTTCCTTAATATTCTCCTTTTAATCGATAGAAAAGAATTCATAAGCAAGTGATGAGCCATTGAGAAGTACTCCAGGCAGACAAGGAATGACATTCCTAACACACTGCAGGAAAAAGTATGGACATTTTCATATATAAAGTACTGCAATAACATAGCTATATTTTCTTTTCATTTTTTTGGTACATAAAGCAAGCTGGCAACTTTTCCCCCCCATTTGCTGCCATCATCCCAGGTCAACCATAAGGCAGTCAAACTGGAAGCCACTTACCCCACACACACCTATGTGTGTGCACAGTCCTATAAACACAAATGTAACCGCTATCCTTCTTGTCAGGTCATGTTTTTTTTCTTTTCCAATTCTTTAGTAACATTTAGCAACTTAGTTTTAAAACATAACAAAACTGACCACTGGTGTCCTGCAGATATCTGATACAGCAATTAATTATCAGGATAGTGTTTAAAAAATTTTCCTTCTAATGTTTTTGTCCATACAGAACATGAGAAAAGCAACACCAGTGAACATGCTGGCTGACTTAGAACATGTTTTTCAGCTCATTGTGTTCTATAGCTGGACCTAAAAGTACCCGTTCAGCCATCAATCCTAAATGGGCACATGTAAAATCATAAGCTAAATTTGCTCTTTATGTCGTGATTCAGGAGAACAGTTCCCCAGTTTAAAAAAATAATTAAAAAAAATTGTAGTATCTGCATAATTCAAAGCTTGAAAAGGAGGCTGAAAGTGCAATAATGATCTCCTGAAGCTTTGTTACAGGTGACGAGGCACATGATTGAAAGATGGACAACTGTGCCTCAAAGTCAGCTAGCCTTTTATAGGACTGGCACTTGACACAATCCTTGCCCTGATGCATCTAACTACTTGAGGGGAAAAAGGGAGGGGGAATTTCAGTTACTTCTGAGAATATCTGGGAACAGAACGAGGTATCTTAAGCTCCAAATCTTGGTAAAATAGCTCATGTTTGGGATTTGATGCATCTTTTAGTTTATCAAGAAGAGATGTATTTAAGATTCTGTTTCAGCTTTAATGTGTTGCAATGTTATCCAAGTGAGCCCAACAGTTCAGAAATGCTCAAAAGTCACTTCCATACAGAAAGTTCCTTCACCTGACAGGATAACCCTTGCATCAAAATTCCTTACTCACACTGCAGTTATTTCTGTCCTATCCTCCCTCTTGCTTTCCCATATAGAATTTGCCCTTATTGGCAGAGAAATGGCAATTCTTGTTTAGTTAAGTCATCTGAGATTTTTCAAACACAGGAAACAAGTAAAATAAAGTTTATATATAATGTGTGTTGTATGTGCTAGTGTTACAGATGGACCCTGACACAGGATAAACTTAGGTGGACCCCAGAAATCCAGTCAACACTGAAGCACGTAACAAGTAACTGTATTCAGGTAACTGTATGCAGGAAGCAGAAATACCATATCATTCCCATGCTCTTTGTCACGTCTTGGAAAGGATGTGTCCTGCAGAATAACTCAGTTAAAATATTTTGTTTAAAAACATCTCTCCAATTTTCTAAATGGAGCTGCAGAGTTATCTTTGGTTAAGGCCACTAAAATATGCACACCCTTAATTCCTCCCTCTACAAATTCAAAAGCTTTTTTTAGAATTACACCAGTATGGAAAATTCTGTGATTGCAGATAATTATTCAGTGTCACTGAATATCAAGCACCTCAACTGGTTTACTGAGGTTACATGCAGTATCCTTTTTACTGTTCCCTTTGATGCATTATTTATCAACTTTAAAAGGAAAACTGCTTTCACTTAAAGTACACAAAATATTTGCTCCTTCACAAATGCTTCCCATGCTGAAGCAGCGTTCTTTTTTGCAGTACGAATACAACACACTCAAACACATTCTCCCTCAGGTTTGTATACACACATGTATTATACAAAATCATGTGTACAAACTCCTTGTACATGTGACACATGGTTTGGGCCCAATATGCCAAATTCAGTCAGATCAGTCTACGTAGGCTGCATTTTTAGTGTAAGTCAGTCAGCTTCTAGATACCATAGTGTTTTATGCAACTTTTGTGGTTTGGTTGTTGTTTTTTATTGAAGTTGCTCTACAAATGTTATGCCTGATTATTAAAAAGTAAAAATGAGAAACTCATTTTGTTCCTTCTCTTATTAGATGGCACTCTTGATTGGAATATGAATAGCTGTTTAGAGGGATGGCATTTTTAACCTATACAATAGAAATAAAAAAATTTAAACAAATAAACTATGCTCTTACTAACTTCTTTCTTGACCTTCTGCCTTAAGGAGGTCAGCTTTCTCTATTGGACCTGTACTAATTAAGCAAATACCCCTAGAGAAAAGGCACATGCACAGGCACTTTTGGGGATAATTTTTCTCAAAGAACACAATGATCTCTACATGCAGGATAATGGAGTTTCAAACCCACAACACTATCAGCGACTGTCACGTTCTGTTCTACAGCAGAATAGTTTTTCAGAGGGCTGAAAAGTGAGACAGAAACAAACCCAAAAGGGATATCAACACCTATGAGCCTTGAGACATTTCTCTACTTCCTCAATTTCATCCCAAACTGTTCAACTGCCACAGAAAAAGTATGACAACGAAAACCATGTTGATCATCTGCTATCGAAAAGAAACTTCTGAGCAAATGTCAATCAGCTATTATCAGTATCTCAAAACTCATCCTAAATTATTTTCAAATGTATGAAGTAGCCCAGAATTAAAACTGGAATCATGATTCTTTAACTGGCTATTAAAAGTTGTCAGCAGTTGACTAACATTCAAATTTTATCTCTTCTTACTCATCTATGCTGTAATGCATGAATCATCAGGGCATTTGGGGTTTGTTTCAAAACATTTTGAAAACAAATAATTAACTACAGAGGTACATGGGTATGCAATAACAGTAAATGTGATGGCTTTTGTGATACTGATGCAGTACACTACCACGAATCAAAATGCTTTATGAATTTAAAAGATTACCGTTAACATAAGGAAGATGAATGCAGTTATTCCTAGAATGAGGATTTCTTTATTCCCTTTGCTTTCTGCATGCAACTTGCGATAATACGGTCCTATGAGATAAGTCTTTATAACAAGACATAGAAGAAAAACAGCAGCCAGAGAAAAGAGAATTTGGCCAATCAGTATCAGTATTCGCAGTATTTCCTTGAAAATGCTGAAAGAGAAGAACAAATAAAACATTTCTTTCAAGTGCTCTCATGTCTCCCAACCAGTTCCCCTTAAGTGAAAAGATCTAATTCCACAGATGTTCAAAACTGAGTAGCTACAGTAAGATATTTAGATACATTAGTAAACAAGATGAATACTAAAACTGCTGAGTGCCCAGCAATCTCTTCGACAACTTAGAATTTACTTCCATGTTGACTCAAAGATTTTGTTGATTGATCATCAAGGTAAGCCATCAGGCTTAATAATGTTATCACACAGTCTTTGACAAAAATACATCTTGAGGGAATAAAGTAACTGAAGAAATTAACTTTTTTTTTTTTACAGTAACAAACTTTTCACTACAAATTTTAAATACTGGGCAGGACTAAGGCAGCTGGAGCAGAAAGAATATCCTCATACAACATGACAAGTACAAAGAGTAAAGGGAACTCACAGAACAGAGTACATATTTTTCACGGAACTGACATTAACTGCAGCACTCTCATATTCATATATTCAATTTACATACTAATTAGAAGGGGGTGAGGGGAATATACATACAATAATCTTTTTTTACCTGGAATATGTGCTCACTCCTGCTTGAATAAGTGTAGGCATGACAGCTATAAATAATCCAAGCTGCACATCCTGCATCACCAACATGCCAAGCAGCACGCTACTGTAGTCAATATCCCCTGCACACCAACAAAGCAGTCATGGAAACGTTCATCAGAATCTACGAATGCTTACGGTGACTGGAAATCTAGAAATGTCTTACTCAAATGGAAGCTAAGTATAGCTCTCAACAGGGTAAGGTCATTCAAAGCCTTCTGTTTGTTCTTTTTGCCCCACCAGTAAGTAAATTAAAATATACATAAATAAATATTAAAAAGTATAAACAAAGTTTGTAGTGAAGCTGTTGCTACACAATAAAAATATAGACTTTGCTTAACAGTTAAGCACTAGTTACGCATTTACTGGAACTACTTTACTGAAAACATGTATATCTGCTGTTCTTAAGACTGTAAGAGTCAGCACATGTAAAATATACACTTTGAATTTAAGCATTAGAATATGAATATTCTAAGGGGTGGGGATAACTTAATTGCAGTATGTATGAGGGAGGTTTAACTGGAAGAAAGCAGGGTGGCAAAACTTTTGAAAGGAAACATTTAGACATCTTTGAGAAGCTAGCAATGTGGTACTTGAAGGTACTTATTTGAAGAGCTGGTAGCTATGAAAGACTGCTTGAGCTGGTCTTAGTTTGCTAAAGAAGGATGCGAATTTTTTAAGTTAGCCTTTGTGCCCTGATGACAGGCTAGTAGTAATGGTCTAACCTGGTCACCTCTTAAAAAGCACAAGGATTCCAGAACCTCAGTGAAGTCCATTCTTAACATGGAGAGTACTGATTGGGCTACATACACTGTGTTTCTCCAAAGAGGACTGGCCATACAAATAGCAGGCATACCTCATAACAAGAATACACACAACACTGAAGGAGGATGATCACTTGTAAACCAAATTAACAGTGGTTTTTGTTTTATTTAGTTTCAATTTTTAACTAGTTTCTCTTATAACATTACAAACTCAATTTCTTTCAAATTTAGCTGTAGATGCTACAACAGTACATATTTAAAATCATACTTACCTTCTTTATCACCTCGAACACTACCTGCAAGAAACCTTGACACCAATGGTGTGCTTGATAAAGATAAACAAGTGGAAATGAAGACACTTTGTGTTGGTCTAATTTGGAGCAAGTGTCCCCATAACAAACCAAAGGCAATCATCAGAACTGTCATGTAGCAAGGTCCTTGCAAAGATATTTTCCATACCTTGGGAAGAAAACAAGTTCTTATGATAAAGTCTGATGACACTTTTCTCACTGATAAGTTACGATGATTTTCAGTGCAAATAAGCTGCTAAAAATGCACCGATTTGCAGCTGCAATGCTGGGCCATAGAAATAATGGGTTGTCATCCTATACATCCTAAAACTCTTAAGTTATTATCCCTAGTAGATAATATTCTATGCCAGAAGGCTTATTACCAGAAATTAGGTAAATTTCCCAGAGCTCACAGGCAAATTAAGGGCCAAAAGGTCCAGTATGGGATGAAACACACTGAAATCATCACATGGAAGACGGATTATTTGATGTGATTCCAGGGTGGGGAAAAGATCATCATCAATACCAGCAGCTTGCTCCACAGCAGTGAGCACACAGTTCTGAAGCAGCAATGTACATACTACAGTTTAGGAACCCTTGAACTACTGATTTTTATCTTTGACTTTAGATGGACTAGAAATAGCAGATTAAGCTGAATGCTCGTAAGTTTTAACACATTTCAATTAAAGATTCTATAGTCTCATGAACTCACAATCACCAGTTTAGGAACAAATCATACAATGCAACTCTACATATATACAGTCTTTACATATTTTGCAGCAGTATTTTCCACTATGAAAATTCTAGCTGGTTTATTAGTTTAGGTTTTGTTTTTTTTTAATTAAGACCAAAAGAAACTTGTACCTTTTCGCTGAAGGCCACATCTTGTAATATTCCAGATTGTGCTAACATACTTGCAGAATCAGTTTATTAGCCAGTACAGCATGTATCATCAATTCAGTATGCAGTACTTAGCAAACTGATATTTTTTTTTATAACAGGACTGGCAAACATCACTGGACACTCCATAACAGCAACTGCGTGTTACTGCATGTTAAAATAAAGCAGAGATGGATTGCCATAAATTGTGTGAGATTTTTCTAGTAATCCAACTGTTTTACTAAAATGAAGATAAATAGCAAAGGGTTTTTTTGAGCCACCAAATAAATAGTGCATTCTGTTCTTTTCAAAGAGTTAAAAAGAAGAAGCAAATGTCATATTTGTCTTTTCAAAAATGTTACATAACACAAATATAAACTTTGTGTACAATACACAAAGTTACACCAGTGTGTTATTGGGAGAATGTAAAAATCTGAAATAGAACTGATAACTTGAACATTAGCAATTAAATTCTGTAATGCAGAGGTGGTATACAAGAATACCTTTCTTAATCTTTCAGGAGAAAATTCCAGACCAACTAGAAAGAGAGTGAAGAAGACACCAAACTCTCCTAATGTCTCCACCTGTACAATAGACTTAAAAAAAAAAAAAAAAAATCAGTGCATAGCAGTCTACTTATAATACAAATTATAAATCCATTTACAAAACAAATTGTTTCTCATTATGTTTTCACAGGCAGTTCACTTGCTGCCTATGTAACATCAGAAGTTCCCTGAGCATCTTCATGGTTCAAAAATTTTTCCCATCACCTGGCTGCTACTAGATAATTTGGTTGGATAGTGCTGGTCACCCAAAATGCACATGTGGGTTGATCTAGGTAACCTTGCTTGTTGTTGAAAATAAATAGGTTAAAGTTCTATGCATATGCTATTAAAACCCCAAAGCTTGCATTCCAGAAGTTACTTCTGCCTGCCTAATAAATTCCTCTGACATTCAACTTCTTTATGAAATACAGAAGAGACAAAAAGAGAGAGGACACACAAGAGACCCAGTAAACATGAATATTATCCAGATGAATAATGTTTAATCACATCTTCACAACGAACGAACAGGCAGCTCACTAAGAAACTGTCCTAAAGAAACCTCCTTCATCTCTGTTTTGACCACATCACCTTCTTCAGTGTAAGACTCTGAAATGTGGTTGTTGAATCTCCTTTTAATGCCAAGCTTACAAACTTGTTTCTCAGTCTAAGTGGTCACATTTTCCAGATCTTCTCAACCTAGAAGTTATTTACTACACAAAGTTTATTATTTAATCTCAATCTTAGAATATGAAATTTTGGAAGTATGATATTTGTAGCCTTCTCTTCCAATATGAGATTGACAAAATCCTACAATTTCTACTTACCCCTACTTACTTTTGAGCCCAAGAGTAATTTTCTAACAGAAGTCCACATAAGAGCAGAGGTTACAAAGACAGTAAGTTCCAAGCATTTACATGGATATCAACGTAATAGAAACGTTTAACTTAACCAGAGGTTACCATGCAACCTTCACATGTGTTCTGTTTTGCCTGCTGGCTAAACAATCTGTTAATGCCCACCAGACCACCAATCAAAACACATGCAATGTCTCACCAACCACAGCCCAGGGTTTTGCACTGAGCTAGTAATCAGAGTACACGTGATGGAGCTAAAAAGGTTCAAGAGACTTGAGGAATGTGGGCAGGAGACTGGAAAAGAAGTAGGGTGACTGGGATGGATGAAAGAGCTACAGAGATGTAAAATAACTCTCTAGGAAGCCAAGCTATGCTACTCAGGGAACTACTTGTTTTAAACACTTCCCCTATTGCTAACACTGACTTTTTGCAAGTTTCTGAATATTTGACGTCATTTAAATAATCTGGCTCTCAAATATGATGCTTTATGATTAAAGACAAAAAGAAAAGAAACAAACAAAGAAAACCCCCACAACACACAACCTTCAGCTTTCACTTTCAACAATTGCTTATGTCATGACTATATAGGAGAAAAAAATTGAAAACAAAATGATTCAAAGACATAAGATTTTAAGGCCTCGTTTTGTAGAGGTCCAGGTTTGGGGATTTTTATTTATTTTTAAATATGAGGTTGGCAATACTGTATTTTTTTTAAAACTACTTTTAAAGATTTCAACAAATGAAATCAGTCAAGCAACTGCACACTTACCTTGATACTATTTAGTCCTGATGGTCCTAAGAGTACTCCACAGATTATATACCCAAACATAGTTGGCAATCCTATTGTTGTGCACAGCCAGCCACATGGCAAAGACAACATTCCTATTGTCACAATATCCTAAACAGATAAGAGTTACAAATGCATTAATATAAAGGAGGCACAAATTTGTGATTAAGAGTATTATCTCTCAAAACGTAAATAGCACTGTAAAATTAAATGTAAAATACTGCCTATGAAAAGAAATAACTTCAGGAAACTAACCTGAGCACTTTGTTTTAAGAGTAAGCACTGCAGTTTTGCAGATGGAGCAGATTTGGTACCGACCTTAAGTAACGGGTAGCTTTAGACACTTCTGATCAATTGATTAAATATTTTAAATACAGTACAGGAAGTAGACAGTTTCATGGGGAATTGTGGAGGGAATGACACTTTGCATTAAAACAAAATGGTGAAATGTGTTTGGTTTGGTTTTTTTTTTTTAAATATTCCCATCCAGTTATTCTTCACGAAGCACAAGTGCAATTAAAAAGATGTCTATGTATTTTTCAGCATCCCTTTCTCACAACAGGAGACAAACAGATAAATTCTCTCCAGTGACAATACGCAAGTGGCTTATCAGGCAAAGCAGTAATTTGCTTTAACACTGCACAGTCGGAGAAAAGGGATCTTGCCCCAAAGGTGCAACAAGTTAAATCAAATAAAAACACAGAGGATTCATGCGGTATCACAATTAGTCTTGTGAAGACTATAGTAAGACTAGGGAATGCATTGGCCAGATCACCAGTAGACAGCAGCATCACAAATGGGGACAAATGCTGAAAACTATACTCAATCCAATCAAGCAGTACTGGCCTGTAAACTAGTGGGATTAAATCTTACCAAAACGAATGACAAGAATGTCTCCAAAATTATTACCTTTATGAAATGATGATCAGCACGAGGAATGGTCGAATCTCTGGGCTTGGTAAGGATATACTGATTGTTCTGAGAATCAATAAGCATACTGAGACCTAAGTCGTCCTCTACTTCTCTTTTTGAAGCATTTCTTTTGGAGTTGGCTTCATCTTCTTCCACCCTTAAAACCGCTTCGAAGTTAACACCTCTTACCTGCAAGAAAAAGAAAGCAAATTAAAAAAAAGGGGGTATGTGTCAATGAAACATACAGCAAAAAGCAGAAGACTATTAGCGGTGCTCAAAGTTGGTCCAGAATTTGTTGACAGACTGAAACACTGAAGTTTACTGCAGTTTCTTCTTAGGGGATTCTTTCCATCTCTTTATCAAAATCTTAAGTCCGTAACTGAAAAGGCTATAATTTGCTTTATATTTTAAAACCAAGGGGATTTCTAGACCTCTTCAGTCAAGTTGTCCAACCAAAAAATACAGAGAGATGGTTTCAAAGCTGTAAAGTTCCAATTCAGTATCTTCAATTGCATTTAATCTGATTTTTTTTAAAAAAAAAAAGCTTTATCACATTTAGAACACAAAAGGTTGGATTGAAATATAGCATTTTATGCTCTTGAACAAAAACAACTAGAGATTAAAAAGTGATTTTCAGTTCACAAAAAAATCTGTAATGACTGCATTCCAACTCAAGAAAAAGTCACTGTCCTGTAAATTTGAAGGAGAGAGAATAAGAACTGCTTCTACCTAGCTCTGTCTTTAGTGCCTGTAATTACAAAGTGGAGGACAGTAGGATGATTTCAGTATTCACTGTATTTTCAATAATGTAGATTTTATCACTATTCAGCAACAGTTAACGTTATTCCTTCTTTGAGACTCTAGTAAAGAAAGTAGGCTGTTGTCATTCCAGTGACTGACTACAAAACATTCAACTTTTCTGAATTGCTGTATTTTGTCCAAGCAACTGCTGAATTTAATGATGAAATGCATTCACATAAATAATCTATAAAACAGCCTCCTATTTTTTTTTCCTGATTCCTCAGTACATTTCCCCAAACTGTTCAGATAAATATTGCATTTTCAATATTTAATCTGCAATTTTCATCCTTCTTTTCCACTCCTTACATGTGTGTGTGTGTGTGTATAATTCCATAAAAAATTTTATCACAGGAATGACCTCTTCCTCTGGTTTTTGTACATGATACAATATGATGGGCCTCTAAAGAACTGGAAGTCACTATGAATTGGGGGGGGGGAAGAAATATGAAACAAATCATGAAGTTTGCAGAATTATTTAGAAGCATAAAACAGCTGCTTCAAACATCAGCCTTTTAGCTGTTGGAGTGAGAGGCTGATGACCATTTTCTTTTCATGCATTATGACAGTTGTCTTTTCACCCTTTTTTCCCCCAAAAAAAACCCTGTCTTTTTGTGTATATTTTGCCTTTACTTCCCTAAGCTCCCCACTTACCAGGCTATTTTGTATTCCAGAAAGAGGTGTCCATTGCCAAGTCTAAGAGACCAAACCGTGTGTTCACGCTTTCAGCTGATGGGAGAAAGCAGGAGCTGCTGCATGCCACACACATGCAAACTAGTCTCACAGCATTGGAGCAAAGAAGAAAGGCTTCCCTACAGTCAGCAGAGATGAAGAACTGTTTCTAATCAGAATACACAATCAGTGCAGTTTTCTGTCACCTTTGCTCCTCACCCTCACTCCCACACCCTCATTGCTTGTCCAGGGATACTAAAAGAGAGCTTATTGCTTAGTGTTAAATGTTGCCTCTGCAATATAAAGCATACTTTACACTGACTCTCACACTGCAGTTATTTCACTTTCAGTGCAGTGTCCTCATCTTGCAGATAACTATTACTTTGCCTAAAAAACCAAAATGCTAACAAGCCAGCATCTGTTCAAGTATCTTTTGGGGAATTTAATGTTATGATATCAGCGATAGTGTTCACTAAGCAAAATTATCGTATTAAAAAAAAAAAAAAAAATCAGCAGCGAAGCATCTACTTTGAAACTCTGGAACTCTAAATTCATAGAGAGTATGTTACATGTTCCTTCGTACTTGGCAGCTTGTGTGTCTGGAATCCAACCAAACTTCTCTGCACCAAAATTGCCGAGGGGCAATGGCTTCACGCTGGAGGGGATGTCTGGAATCCAACCAAAATTCTCTGCACCAAAATTGCCGATGGCTTCACGCTGGAGGGGAACAGATTTAGACTGGAGATTAGGAGAGGGTTCTTCACTGTGAGGGTGGTGGAGCACTGGAACAGGTTGCCCAGGGAGGTGGTTGAGGCCCCTTCCCTGGAGATATTCAAGGAGAGGCTCGATGAGGCCCTGGGCAACCTGGTCTAGTTGGGGATGTCCCTGCTGACTGCGGGGAGGTCGGACTAGATGACCTTTGGAGGTCCCTTCCGGCCTGGGCAATTCTATGATTCTATGAAAATTAAAAACGTATCAGAAGATCACATAAAAGCAATGCAGTTGGATAAATACATTCCTCATCTAGTGGAGTTCACAGTCTGGGTCGGAAACAATGTTAGGACAAAAGGGAAGACGTTTATAAGATTATGACAGTTATGAAAAACAATGGGTTTTTTTCTGTGTAACATATATAAAAATTATACATTGTGTGGATATTATGGCGCATTTTTACTTTCACAAAAGAAAAGAGAACTGACAAAAGAGACTGTGCTAGAAGCCCAAGAGCACACAGCACAGGTTCAGATGAGTTTTTAAATACTAGTAAATTTGAAGACGTATTGGGAGAAAATAGTTCTTTTTGGGATTTTATTTCCTAAAACAATTTCTGAAAGCAGGTTGTACATAACAGAACACAGTGCGCAAATACTCTTGTTTTGCATTAAGTGGGTTGGCTCAGATTCTTTTTTTTTTTTTTTTCATTTTTACTTACTTCACTTCTCCGTTTGTTTACATTTTAATAGATGCTTTTGTGTCTTTATCAGTTTACTGATCGTTCTATCTGAACTCCCTTCTTCTAACGTTCCAGTGTTCTAGCTTAGGAGAAAACCCACTAGATGCTTCTTGCAAAGATGGAGATGTAACTAGCCCCTTCCAGGTTGCGTTTCATGATTCCTTTTCTTTTATGAATAGAGATACAAGCAGAAAACCACAGGGATACGCTGGAGAACGAGGATGCGTTGGTGTGTGGCCAATTAACAGGTGTAGGAGAAGAAACCTAATTTCCTGATCCTCTTTCAAACCTGACGTTATACCCCAGCGGAACAGAAGAGGGCACCCCCGCCAGCTGCTCCTGCCTGCACAGGATTCCCACCGGCTGCAATTCCTGCCATCTGGCACAGACAAAATAAAACCCTGCTTGAGCTTTCTCTCAAGTACAGCTACAAAAAAAAAATAAAAATAAAAAAAAAAAATATATATATATATATAAAAAGTGACCTGGCTCTCTACTGCAGACCAACTGCCTTTTTCCTTGCTCAGCAGCATTCAAGAACTATACTCGCCTCTGGATTCAAGCTGCAAATCAACAAAAGCCTTTCGAGAGCAAAGGCCAAATAAAATTGCAACCCGCGTTTATGCAAAAAAAAAAAAGACCAATTTAGAGAGTCAGTCTCCAGGGACAGCACAATCGGGACACTAGAACAAACTGCTGTACTCCCAGCTCCAAATACACACAGCCTTACCTGAGGGATACTGTCCGTCATGCAACACAGAAACAAGGAACAACGCAAACAGGCCAATATACGAGAAGCAGAGGAAGTCAGACGTGGAAGAAAGCAACACCACAAAAACGTTTCAGGTCCTTACCTTGAACAATATATCTTTTCCCAGACTGTGAAAACTAACTGCAAGGGTTCTTGTTCTCCCATAACTTTCTCAACAAAATGAAAGAGAAAAAAGCGGAGACTACGCTTAACATGGTAACTCCACATCCTGCAAAGCCTAAATATCACAGTCCCCACCACCACCACAGAGATGCCATAATTCTCACGGGCTTTATCAGTGAGATGCACTACACTTGTCAAAGTGGCAGCTGCAGGGAAGACCTGCAAATCAAAAACCACAGAAATCACTAGCAAAAAGGAGTAATTAATTCCTGTTTGCTCGCTCCTAAAAAGTAATCATTCTACTAATAAATACTTTCTTCTGTTGAAAGGGAAGCAAGAACAGACATAGAGCTAAAAGTTTTTTGTTTTGTTTTTTAAAGCAGTCACTAAAATCCTAACAACTATTTAACACAGGGGTTAAGAAACACCCCTACAGTGCAATTACGAACTAAAAAATAAGTGCACACCAATTAAAAGACTGAGTCTGAAACATCACTTACAGATTTGTTGTCATCAAAGGCATGCTCTTCTATTTCCTCTTCCAGTCTATCAGCTGCCTTCCTGACATCTTCTAGAATTTCATCAAGCATTGACAAGCTTTTGTTTTGATGCTGCATGTTCTTAAGGGCTTCGACCTGATGTTTTTCTGCTGCTAAGAGTTCGACGTATTCCATTTCTTCCTGTTGAATTTTACAACACAGAGATAAAGTGCTGGCCAGGCCTTCAAGTGGAAAAACATCTGACATAAATGTACGTTTCTTTTGACACAAAACATCTTAGGAGTGGAATTGCAAAAGCAATATAGAACTTCATAATGCTATTTGGAGATTGCTTTCTCTTGCGCCAACTCTCACTGGCGAAAGAGGGCAAGAAAAACAACCACCGAACAAAATATCCACTAATTGCCCTTTCTAATCCATTAAACAGTAGAGCTGCTCCACAGTTACAATCCAGAAAATACGAGAAAGGAATTACTCTGAGGAACTCTAGGAGACATTTCAGAGACAAGTAAGTTTAGTACTCAGTGCTTTAGCAGGGAAGCAGAACAACACTGAAAGCACAGCTTTACTAGCTACAACAAACAAACAAATTGGGAGGAAAACACAATCTTAATTGTATAAGCCATTTTATAAGTGTGGGAAGAGGTCTGTTCATGGTTTTCAAAATTTACAACTGAGGAAACAGCTACAAAAAAAATAAAAGCAGTTGGGAGTGCATACAGGTGAGCTATCAAGCATTCTAGCTGAGGTTCTTGCTTGTGTTTCCCAATAAGCATTTTTCCTGTCAGAAGTAAAGTTACTTCAGTAGCTTCCCTGATAAAGCTGTGATGTTTCGTTTCTCTTTGGATGTTTCAGGTTCAACAAGAAAACTAAAAAAGTAAGTTTATTTACTCATCAAGACCACACTTAACACTGCACCTTCTAAATAGTTACCAAGACAATAACCAAACAATGCTTTGTTTATTGACAGTATAATTTGTGATTTTTTGGAAAAAAGATAAGATGCTTCACTTTACACACCTACATTCTTTTAAAGATGTACCAGTTGAGAGAGAGAACAACTACGAATAAGGAAACATACACAACGGCAGGCTTCTTCCTCTCAGTTAAATTCAGGATGCTGAGAATATTTAAATGAGAGAGACCCTACACCTGTCTTTTAAGATAGCCAATATTATTACAAAGGAAAAAAACAGACCAGGCAAAGAAACATAAGCAATCTCTAGGTCAGACTGAATTCCCAGAAAACACAAGTTTCTGTCTCCATTTTAGATGCCCTGCCATACCCAGTTAGAAATCGGACAGAACATAAGCCTCTCTTAGGTTGCGTGTTTTATCAGCCTACCCCACAGAGAGATCTTGGATAACCTGGGCACCTAAAATAGTCCTAAACTCCTATGTTTAAGTAACTGGAGTTTGCACATGTTTGCAGATGGACATTTTTCCCCTTGAAACCTGCGAGAGCATGCATGTAATTTAATCAATTCCTTGATGCCAAGACAAGAGTACATTCAGTACAGCCTCTAACTGTAGCTTCACCCCTTTTAAAATCCTCAGAGTCAGATGAATACCTCTGGTTGTGAGGAAACCACAGAATTGCTGGCTCTTGTCTGTTGGTGTTTAGAATTACCATAGTTACACCAGCATGATGAAAATTACCCGGTTCCCAAAATAACTGGAGTTGGGAAAAACGTAACTATTAATGTGTTTGGCCCAATGTCAGCTACTTTAGTTCTTACGCAACAGATAAGCAAGAGACACAGTCACTCTCACACAGCCCCAAGGAAAAACATTTCCTATCTGTTGCTCTCTGCTAGCAGACATTGCCCGACAGATATAAAAAACAGCCCCCGTATGAGCTCCCAGATTCTTTCCTCAGTCAGCAACAACTTAGAATATGAGGTAGAATTGATGAGGGTTAGATTCTTTCCCCTCAAAAACGGAACAAGTTTTGGTTGCAGGGAGCCGGTCAGTCCTTTCTGTCGGTTAAGGCCCAACTGGCTGAACAGTTGGAGGCAAACTGCAGAGAAAAATAAATAAGGCTCTGATTCACAAGAATTTGATTTCACAAAAATTGATGTGATTCACAAGAATTTTACCTTCTCTGAACCACAAGGTAAAAGAGCTTTGAAAAATCTGAGTTTACCCCTAAGTTCCTTTAATTAATGAAGACAAAGTTTTTTGTAGCCTATTAAAGTGGCATCTCTGTTTACACCTACAGACCTGTGTCCTGGCAGCAGAGTGGAACAATCACAGGGAATGGTGTCGGTGAAAAGGACAAGCTCTCACACAGCCTGCTCCATGGCAAGCACAAGTGCATCACAGTACAAACACTCTTCTGCAACTCACGCCAGGATTGGAGACATCTGACCCCAAAGTACATACCAAACAATCTTTTTGAGCAAGGTAATACACATCAGGATTGTGCTGCACTAAACAGGAGACTGGAACACCCAGAAACACGTGAAGTAGGATTAAAACTTTGGGGCAATGCTGGTTAAGAATGCAGTGTTGCTGTTGTTCTCCGCTGTTTTATCAGGGATGGAAAAAAGTACATTCAGAGGAGGATGCATCTTTGCACTACTTGTGAGTTACTTTTTCCATCAATGTCCCAGCAGCAGGCACCCAAACCTCCACACAGGTTCCTGGAGCCAAGGAAGGCAGAAGCTATTTTGAGCACTTCTTCCTTCCTCTCCCCCACCATGAATGATTCCGCTACACCTTTTCCCAGCAGCAGAACCCGCAAGAAATGCATCACACACACATACATATCCCAACACTAAAGACTTCCAAATACTTCATCTCAACAGAAATAAAATGAAGGGAAGAGTTCAGCACCCTCTACAGTCATTTCTATTTTCTACTTAACCACTGTTTAAAAAGCGGAAAGAATGTCTTGTAAGTACAACAAAGTAATCATTGCAGTAAAATGAAACCAGAACAAAATTGGACCTAGTGTGTGTCTTCTGAAGTAAGAAGTTCAAAAAAAATATACCCCATGTAATTCTCATCTTTTTTGCATGCATTTCCTCCTCTATCCTTTATTTTACTTTATGTAACAATTGTAAGGTTAGAACAACAAATATTCTGTTTAAAAAAAATCACACACATGACATAAGAAGGAAGAATGTAAAAGATTGCTTGTTCAAGTAAATATCTTGATATGATAACACAAAAAAGGCCTACACAGTCCACCTCTGCACAAGTGAAGTTTTGACAGTACACACATCTATAACACATCAGCAGACACACAGGCCTCCTTTTATGAGAAAAATGAGGAAGCATTGTTCTCAAGTTCAAGGATAGATTACGTCACTATTTTACAGTAACATTGCCAAGAATTAGGTAAATGAGAAAGAAGATTCTGGACAGCTTCCCTGCTGCCATCTTAAGAGCTCCGAGGAAAAAAAAAAAAAGGTGAAAAATCTAGTAATTTTCATTTCAATTGCTACCATTTCTATGCAGCAGAGGCTGGCACTACCATTAAGTGCCAATATCAAAGTCATATCAAGCACTTCATTGGAACACACCTAGATCCAAGCTACTCCCTATGCAAAGTTGTTGTAATGCAGTCTTTTTTTTCACTGCACAGACCACTCCAGTCTCCCAATTTTGCATCCTAACTTCTATGTCCACCAGCCTTTCTTACTGCAATTCACACCATTCTTGCACATGATCTCTAGCCATCTTCACCTGTTAAGATCTGCACATCTCTTACACAAACGCCCTTGAGAGATTCTCCCAGCTCAGATGCTATATCCCAATTAAATTTTTCCTTCTCTTGCTCCCTTGCGCGAGGGCAGCCTCTTATTTTAGAAGACAGTAAACAAAGAAAACGTATAATATATTCCTCCAGTGGCTAGGGGGTAGAGCAAGGAAAAGAGCAATTTAAATACTAAATCAATTAAATGACATTTTCTCTCAATGGGAGACTTTCAGTACACAGTCTGAGTGCTACCAAGCCCAGCAGACAGTGGCAGATTGTGCCTACCCTAACAGGTCTGCATTGAAACAGGAACTCAAGTTTTCCATTAAGTACTTCTGCTCAACTGTTACTCATCTGTGCTTTTCTTGGTAAAGTTATCTCAGCCAGCTCTTCCCTCAAAGCACTGTTTTTCAAATCTGCACTTCTTAGGCTAGGAGTGCTACACTGAGATGGAAAATCTAGTCCTCTCATATATTTGCCCGTCCATTTTACCCATATCTATACAAATACGGAAATAAAAGGCAAGTCATTCTGTTTAAATTGTAAATTTTTGGTTGAGCAGTTCTGATTTAAAGTGGAATAGACAGTTAGTATTTTGTCAATTTATGGCACTATCTCCACTCTGATAATCCCACTGGTTTGTCTAGTGCAACTGTGCTATGTGCACTGACTCACTTCTTGTATTCTTTTTCCTTTAACATAATATTTGCCATAGGTCTTATAATTATACTTAGCTTTGTTTTGAAACAAGAACTATTGACTGCTAGTAAGTTTTAAGCTCTACACCAGAATTACTTCTAATTTTACTAATGAAAACAAATACTTAATTCAAATCCATTGCAAAACATTTCAAGTTTCATGTAGATCCTGTTTTTTATTAAAATAGATTGAAACCATGCCATAATGAAATTAAAATCACAAATAGAATATTAATACTCTAGTAATAAACACAGGGGAACTAACCTTAATCGCAGCTTCTCTCAAGGCTTCCAGTCTCTGTCTGCTGCTTTCTTTCATATTTACAACATCTTTGTAATCACCCTGTAGAGCTCTCTGGAGACCATGGATTGCCTGAAAGACTGAGTTTTCACTTTCATTTAGCTCCTTTTGGAAAATTTCAAAGGTATGCACCTGAAAAAGTTTCTCTTCGTCTGACAGCCCTGCATCCTTCTCAACTGCTCTTATGGCATTTTTTAGTTTGTTGAGAACAACGTTCTTTTGGCGAAGAAGACCAGACAGTTTTCTGCAGCTCTCCAACACCCACTGCCTTCTCTGAGTGATAACAGCTCCTTTCCCACGGTGCAGCTTTATTGCATGCTTCACTACATCTTCGTGTTCTGCAGGATTTACTAACTGGCCACAAGGCAGTGAAACCAACGTCCATAGGGAAATAAATCCAGCCGCCTTCATTCTTCACTTTTTATTGCTGTTGGGAGAAACTGATAATCCACAACTGCTCAAAGCTTTCTGCTACATGATTTCTGCATCTCCAGTACACACACCATGCTGCAAGATAGAACCAATCAGTTAACAAACATGATAATGTTGAGCCGTTAGGTCAAACAAACGTAGAAAACAAACTTAAGACTGCATCCTACACTGCTATACAGAATGTATGTGATCTCCTTCAGTCAACAGTTACCAAAAGCAAGAAGCAGCCCAAGGTTACTGATAGATTTTTGTTTTCCCCTTGACTATTTTCTAGTTTCAGAAACAGTGAACGGAAAGCTCGGTCATTTCACATGGTAGTCACCTGCACTTCTTTACACAAGAGAAAAGCCATTAAAAATAGTAAGCCACGATGCCATAGGCTGTACTTCAGCCTAGCACCAGAACTCACTATTCTTATCAGTAAGTCTCTTGCATTTTTTCAAACCTATCCTAAAAAATTGTATCACAATCATTTGTTATTCATACAGCCTCAGAAGCATTAACACATTCAACTATATAAAACCTAACAAAAAAAAAAGCTTAATTGAAACAGATTACATTATAAATCATACTTGTGAAAGAAACATTTCCACAGTAAAGAAATAACCACAAAACTTCCTGGGCTTCTGAACACTACTAATTTGGATGAAAGACCTTCACTTGAAAGGCTGCACGGCCTTCAGGCATTTTAGCTTCAAAGCTGATTATTGATCCTCATGATTTTAAAATAGTTATAAGAACACAAATAGTAAAATCAATTCATTCATACGTTCATTTCCCAGAAGCTACTTGAAGATCTATATTTAAACTGCTGTATTTGCTTTTAACACCAAGCAGGACTTGATTTCAGAACTAGATCCTACAGAAAATACAGACATCACTGTAAAATAACAAAGTTACATTTTCTTTAAAAAAAACCCCTCAAACAAACACAAAAACCCACAACCCACACATATAACAATGTATAAAGGTACATACAAAACCATACATTTATCACTGATTCGTGGCATTCTAAAAACACACAACACACACAACATATTAATAGATCATCAATAGAGCAGGTATTTGCTTAAAACTTCAGCTACAGTCTTAATCTCTGGGCCAACAGCCTGAATCTGGAACCAACATACGGACAGAGTCATCTGGAAGTAGCCTGTGTAAGAGAAAACCTTCTTTCCCTATAATGCACCACCAGTCACAATCACAAGTATCCAATCCAGCCAGCCAGCCTCAATATATAGAATGGGAAGGAAGAGGGCAAACACAGCCATGCACTGCTTTTACTTTTAAAATGCCCTCTCATTCCTGTCTCAGAAACAACAGAAAACCTGTCTGTGGGTTGGGTTTTTTTCAGTGCATGAAGTACAAGCCAAAGTATTTAGCTATCAACAGTTGACTATGGGTTACGGTTTAACAACATGAAGGGCTAAAACATTTAAACTTAAGAACTGAAAGTATCATTAAAATAGCAAAAGCATATCCACATCCCTCTGATTTCAATAAAATTATAAAGTAGAAATATTTCAGAACTTTGATAAAGCTATGGGGTTTATTATTTTTAAGAGATTGGGAAAAAATAACAATCCCCACCACCCGGCAAAATACTAGAGTGATATTTAAGGAAATCTTTTTTCATGCATACAAAGTAATGTTCTCTTCCTGTTTAACATGGTTGAGAGAGAGATTTTGCTGAATATATTACAACCTATTCCTGAGAGAAAGAAGGAGAAAAATTCACCTACTGTATCTTCAAGCTTCCACTTGCAGTGAGGTGAGTAAAAGACTGCAGTTCTTGCGTGGTATGTAACCACGTAACAAAATTCTGAGCAGAGATATTCTTCAAGCTTCCACTTGCAGTGAGGCGAGTAAAAGACTGCAGTTCTTGCGTGGTATGTAACCACGTAACAAAATTCTGAGCAGAGATTTATACTAGTAAATTTTCCTACTGTGTAAACTTATCACTGTGGTTCAGACACGTAACAGCTTTGTTTCGGTAGCAGTGTTTTTTACTTGGCTTGCAAAGACTATTGCCTGGAGAAGAGAAGGCTCCAGGGAGACCTCATAGCAGCCTTCCAATATCTGAAGGGAGCCTACGGGAGAGCTGGAGAGGGGCTCTTTGTCAGGAAGTGTAGTGACAGGACAAGGGGTAATGGGTTTAAATTGGAAGAGGGGAGATTTAGATTAGAAACCAGAAAGAAATTCTTTACTGTGAGGATGGTGAGACACTGGAACAGGTTGCACAGAGAAGCTGTGCATGCCCATCCCTGGAGGTGTTCAAGGCCAGGCTGGATGGGGCTTTGAGCAACCTGCTCTAGTGGGAGGTGTCCCTGCCCACGGCAGGGGGGTCTGAACTAGCTGATCTTTAAGGTCCCTTCCAACTTGGACCATTCTATGATTTAGAGAAGTGCCACCTTGGGCAGCGCTCAAAAGCTGTTAAGGGAATAATGGCCTCACATACAAAAATATATGATGTGCTTCAGAGTATAAATAAAGAGGAAAAAAAACCACCAACCCAAACCTGCTCCTCTCCATGCACCGGTAAGTATCAAATTAGAGGGAACTCCTGTCGCTTGGAGTCCTTTGCAAGCCCAGTTTGTTTTCCGAGGGATTGCAGCTCATCTTCCTGATTTTTTTCCCTTCCTGAACAGGCTTGATGGGGTTTCCCATCAAGGGAATACCAGACCCTACCTCCAAGGCGAACCCCGATCCTCTTTCTGCCCGAAACGCCTGCGGGCCCTCCCGCACCTGCCGCCCCCCACCCCTTTTCCCATTCACAGCTCCTTCCCCGGACCCGCCGGGCAGCCCAGGCCCCGCACCCACCTGAGGGCGATGGCAGCGGAGGGCCGCTCCTTGCTTTGCCTTCAGCCGGCTTCCAGGCAGCGCCGGGCCGGTACCTCTCCCTGAGGGAAAGCCGAGAAGGAGAAGGGGGAGAACGGAGAAAGATGAGGAGAGCGCGGAGGCGATGCCCCCCACCTCCTTCCCCGCCCCCTCATGGCGGCGGAGGGAGGAGGCCGCCCCGCAGCTCCGAGCTCAACTTTCCGTCCCCGCCGCACCAGGGGCAAACCCGCCGCCGCCTCCTCACAGCCCTCACCACCCCCAAACACACACCCACCCCCACCGCCGGGAAGGGCCCACTGCCCGCCTCAGGGGAAGGAGACGGAGGCAGTCACCGGCACTGGGCGCTGCTTCCTCCCCCCCCGCCTCCGCTCACCTGAGGGAAGCCGGCAGCGGCCGGGAGAAGGCGGGTAAGGGGGAGGCGGCGGCGGCTGACGGAAGGCACGGAGGAGCCCCGTCCTTGCCGACGGCCGCCACGCTCCCCCCGCGGCGCCGGTTACCGAGCGGCACCTTTAAGCGCAGAGTCAGGCGGGAGCTGCGGCCCGAGCGCCGCCGTCTGACGGGAAGCGTAACCGCGGGTTCCCCCCAGCCCGTCCCCGTTCCCCCCCCCCACGGGCTCCCCGGCCGCTCTGCGCGGCGCACGCCGGGAGACGTAGTCGCCGCCAGGCTCGGCGCACCCCGGGAGGCCCCGGCCCCGCGGTGACGGAGGGGACGGCTGAGCCCCGGTGGGTGGAGGGGGGGTGACGAGAGGAGGGCGCCCACCTCCG